TGCGTTTAAGAGACCTTTGGAAAATAAAAATTTGGAGTCTAGTTAGTACCTATTACAAAGTGATTTAATATCTACCTAGGCAAAAAATTAAATTATATATGAAAAAATAATAATAGTTACGTTATAAGTCCTGATTTCGTAACATAACAATATCTTAAATGCCGAAATCGGACTTTTAGAAAAAAAAAATTGCCGTATAAAGCCTCGATGCTGAATTTGATATTTTTATATTGCCATTTTAAATAAGTACACAATAAAATATGTTCATGAAACAGTTGGTGAAGTTTACATATGTACTAATGGCCAATAATCCTTTTTCGGAAAGCTTAAAAAACGCCCCAAAAGCTTTCTTCGGAGCTTACAAAAGTGGGATGTTTTAAAATAAGCAGTTTAGAGTCCGCCGGGAGTCAAGACACGGTGCATTAGCTTGGATCGACGCAAATGTTATTTTCTCTTAGGATAATTCCTATTACGATTTTAGCTAGCATTTAATTTAAACGTGGAAATATTTTTTACACATTGTATAATAAATATTCGGGCACAAAAATAATTTAGTTAGAAATTTACTTTTATTTTCAAATATGTTATACTCCTGAATATATGTTATAGGAAGGATATATGTATATGTGTAAAAATAACATGAGAACTTAAGAAAGCCCAAGTGCGCAATATCGCAGCACACACCTCACGAGGGGACTCTTTGTATTAAAAAAGTCGCATAGATCCGCCATGCATTCGCGAATATACAATGTATAAATAATAATGTCGGAATAAAAAAAATTGCAAATAATTAGTGTAAATTACTATAAAACCAACCATAAATTAGTTATTAATTTAAGATTGATAGTTGGAAAAAATCCTAATATGTTATATTAAATTTTTTTCACTGAGTGCCAAATCAACGGACTATTTCATCTTTTTTTTCTAGGCTTTCATCGATAGAGGTCTTAATTACAATTATTAAAATCCAAGTAACGTTTAATCCAATTACATTTGTACCTTTTAAGTGGTAAAAGACCGGAAGAGCGCTTGCGAGCCTTCTGGCAGTGTGAGTGTCCATGGGCGGCGGAATAACTTAACATCAGAAGAGCCTCCTGTAACATATATAAAAAAGTAACATATTTTTGTTCAAATTTATAGAAACATATTTTTTATATATGTTTACTATGCAAAATGCATCAAGAAAAGTTCTTTATTCAAATAACATAAATTCAAGGTGAAAGATAGAAAGTGTTGGGTGAAATGCTAGCTTATTCATGCCTTCGTCGCGAGCACATTACTTGATTACAGAGTGGTCTGCAACAAGACTGTTTCCATTGCTACACGAGAAAATCATACATTATACATCTCATATATGGGTAAAGTAAATTATTATTCACTTATACTTATTATATAGATATACTGTTTGAACTGTTAACGTACACATTGACAATAAACCATAACCAAACGTAGCTAACACACATCATACACAATTAATTAAAATAATATTGGTAAAATTCATAGAAACTTTAACTTATTGTTCCGTATTAACTAAAGTACTTATTCATCTCTTTCTGGCAAATGGTGTTAACGATTTAAGGAAATGAGACAATTAGCTTTTCGTTAGACGGCGTAACTAACCTAGCTTTTTATAAAGTACTACGCATAATAAAACAAATGAAGGAGTAGATTTTAATTCAGTATTTAAGATATTGTTATCTGACGAAAGCAGGACTTACGTTAAAATTATGATTATGTTATCACATACAATGTTTTTTTTTTGTCTAACAAGATACTAACATTATTGTAAATTATTTTTTAACTTTCAGCTGCCCATGCCTTCTATAATTCCGCTTTCTTGCCGTAGGTTTTAAACAATAAATATTTAACTTAAAATAAAAGCAAACGCTATCTAACTCGGTACTAACCCCACAACCGCGTAATTCCACAAATGGCTGTAACCCGAGCCGCGCGGGTTTAAAATTGAAATTTATATGCACGCATTATATATGAGGCGGGATTATGGCTCAAAGAAAATGATTGTGGACTCGCGGCCTCACCCAGGAGACCGGATAGTTGACTGGGATAGTAATTCGAGTGGATTACATACGAGATATACGGTACAAAATTACGTGTCACGTGCCGTATGAATTCAGTAAATTGGTTTTAAAATGCACTGTTTTTTCGGATGTGATTTTTTGACAGTTTATTTAACATGTACAGATGAGGAGCGGAAATTTAAATTACTTATCGTTAATAAAGTAGATTGCCCGAATGTCTCATCCTGAGGTCATGTGAAGCCCGTGATTTTTGTGTCTTAACATGTCTTGGACACAAAAATATAAGATGAATTCAATGCCTGGTATTATTCTATAAAAGTATCAATGAACAGTTACACAAAGCTCAGACTGACGGAAACCATTAAAAAAATCCAGCTACATTGCAGTCACTAACGTGTTATGGCGGCATGTTTTGGTGCCAGTAATGCACTATTATAATTAATGACAGTATTTTGGTAAGAGATTAGAAGAAACCAAAAACGCCGTAAGAGAAATATAGATAGAGAGAGAATGATGTTAGTTTAAGAAGTGGGTCCGCTCAAAATCACCTAATTTTAACAGGCGCAGTTTATACTTTTTGTAAGTATTTTCTGTTTAAGAAAGATATCTGAAAATCGTATCTAGAATAACAAGAATTAGTGGTGGTGGGGCGTCGCTAGATACAAATCCCGGAGAAGAAAAGTATTTGGTGAGTAGTCTATGTGAAGCTCTGGACATAGGGTTCAACCTGAAGACGTTAGCCTAACGCAGGAGATAAGATTATTTAATAATAACTCTGTCTGTTTCACCAGCAGGCGTTCTCAAAAAATCCACATAGCTTATTGCATTTCACAGAACATCAAAATTTGCCACAGATCACAACAGTAAATGAAGATCTCGATAAATAAACTGTGTAATAAGTTTTAAAGTATTAATATTCCATTTATATAAAAAGCGCGAGGCGTCCGCGTCTCGGTAATTTCGTGAGGGAGAGACGATTACGCCGATTAAATATGCATTAACGAATTTTTCTCCTTAAAAGCTGAAAAAAACTGCGTAAAAGGAAAATTGGCAATTAGGGCCGTACCTACCTTTCACTTAAAATTAAATTTTCTTCTTAAAGATACACAAAGTGGTGTTATTTTTTAATGTCTTGCCTTTTAAGCTTTATTAATTTCTCGTCTAAACAGTTTTAATAACTTTATCGTTTATATTATTAATGTCCTTCAAGAAAAAAGTACACTAATTCTTACGCATCGCACTCGCCCACTGGGATTGAGAGTGTCCATGGGCGTAGCACTTAACATACGTTGAGCCTCCTGCCCGCTTGCTCCCTGTAGTAGACTTTCGTAGCGTAAATTATTTATTTGATTTTATGCCCATATATAGGACTAAGAGGGAGCAGTGTTGGCCTAGTGGCTTCAGCGTGCGACCCTCATCCTAAGGTCGTAGGTTCGATCCCCATAATGCACACTTAACAATTATTCGAACGGTGAAGGAAAATATCGTGAGGAAACCGGCTTGCCTTAGACCCAAAAAGTCGACGGCGTGTGTCAGGCCGATGATCACCTACTTGCCAATTAGATTGACAAATTATCATGAAACAGATTCAGAAATCTGAGGCCCAGACCTAAAAAGGTAAATATAAAAATAATAAATCAGTGGCTCTACAGCCACTGATTTATTTTTATAAAGGACTAAGAATATCGTTATTTTAAAATTTTAATTGCTAGGTTTATTATGCATTTACCCTTACATAAACGCCTGAAATTGTGAAATACTATAGTATAATTAATAACGTGATTTACTGATGTGATACATATATTATACAAACCAAGACTTGATAATATTCCAGTTCATTAATACTATAAAAACGCATACGCAAAAATACCCAATTTCGCGCAACGAATTCCACAATTTTTCATATTATCATAAATTGGAAAAAAAGAAAGTTTAAACACATGCAAACCACATTACTTTCCGTTCTTGCCCTCGCTAACATTACCGAATTGTATCCTTTGATATTCAACGATCATGAATAAATGATCAAAATATAGTTGTAACATAATACAGCGTGTTCACAAAATGAAAATTAATTATGCAAAGAGATAAATTGACAGTAATTCGTGGATACAGCAGCGGCGCGTATAAGTGGGTGTTAATAATTATATCAGCCGCAGAACGTTTTAGGCTTGATGAAAGAAGGTTAAGACGTTAGCTTTATAGCCGTTAGGATATGACGTAATTAGACGTTACAGGTGTTCCAATTTCAAATTTTAATACTGTTCATTAATTGATCGGTAATCGCCATCAAAAGCTTTTTATACAGTTTTTATGTGTAGAAGTTTATTGTTTTTTATATAAAGCAACAATAAATATATATGTGTGTGGTCTATTTGAGAATTTAAAAGTTTTAAATAATTACATTTTTGTATACTTTTAATTAACAAAATTTGTCTCCAAATTTCAAAATTAGAAGACTTTCCTAATTTTTTTACTTTACGAAAGTATTCAATAACTTAATTTTTATCTTCCAAATTAGTTTGACTAATTTGGCCTTTATTAAAAAGGTAAGATTACCCAATACATCAATATACATAAGTGAACGATTATTCAAAGTTTATGTAACAAGCTAAAACAGGGCGTTACCTCCCCCAGTGTCGCTATAATCAGTTAATTGCATGAATAATTGAACAGTCATTACCTACACTACACCTAACACTCTGATAGCAATCTACACAACATTAATTATAGCTGAGCAACGTATATGAGCATATTTTATGCGTTTATGCATATATTTTGGTCTAATGCAAGTGCTTACACAAATTGCAATAATCATATAGTTTTGTAGTCTGTATTTTGGCTTTGGCTTAGAAGGATAATTGTAAATAGGTATGATTTGAATGTACAAAAGATGAAATGACTTTTGAGGATGTAGTTGACCAGAATTCGATTGTGTTTTGTTTCAAAACAAAAGACGAGATGGGTTATGTCTATTATTCGTCGAACGGAATGATCGTGTGAGTCTGTGGTTTGATTAGAGACCGATTACAATTAGATATTTCAAAAAATTACGACTAAATGCGGGATGTACTTAATATAATTAATTTCCAAGTAGAAGCCAGGCGTTAATTAATTAATAACTGTTTAATTACAATACCAGTTACGTGTGGATTTATGAAACCACGTAATGTGGACGTCGGATTTAATCATATTCTTCATCATTCATACTAGTCTACCAATAGAAAAACTTGTTTTATAATAATGTTTAGATGCAGGGACACGCCCTCAATGGAATCGTAAAGTAGTAAAGAGATTTAAAATATGTCTCTTGCATATAAAGGGTTTATTAGAAAAAAAACCAGATTCATGAAGCATTAAATAACTGTTACGAGTTCACTTTATATAGATTATTTAGGTTATTCGAAGGTTAAATTGTCCCAGCCTAATCAAAATAATGATTAACACCATTAAGGCTTAGTATTCTCTTTGTTGAATTCTAGTTGAATATTCATATTAGAGAATCTTTAAGGAGATATTCCCTCTCGGAGTGGAAAACCAATTAATAGAGGCACGGTTCGTTAGGCCACCCTGTAGGGTTGACCCGTGCAGATAATGGAGTTTTCTACTTGTGACGTCGTAATATTTGTGATCTTTGGCTTTAATGAATGGAGGGAGTAATTTAATAAATCGAACAACTGGAACGCGACAACTTTATAGATACTTAAAATGCTTGCGCACCATCAATAGTAATCTTTAGAGAGAGAGACTTTCAAGAGAGGTTTCAATAGAGGGTACTAGTTCTTTTTTAGAACAGGGGCCAACGGGCAAGAATGTCAGCTGAAGTTAAGTGATACCGCCGCTTGTAGACACTTACAATGGGCTGCAAGTGCGTTGCCGGCCTTTTAAACACATTGTAGCACTAAACGACATGTTAGCCCACTTGTCCTTGGTCGATAAAAATCTCTGGAAATGTCGCCAACTAAAACATTCGTCACAAAAGTATAACGAATACGTTATTTCATACAAATACTTAAAAATGATTTCGGAAGTTGTCAAAGTGAAAATATAATTATATAAGGGCAATCAGGGCAAGAGAGAGCTGAATTACGTTGTCAGTATGCGGTGGCCGGTATGCTGACTCATCAATTATTAGCACTTGTAATGAACGCAAATCCTTTGATTCCATTGAACGAATACTCGGGGGAATTTTGTGTGTAGGGGATGAGCGGTAGCGTAAGAGGGCAAGTGAAATGTGAAAGATAGAAAGAAAGAAGAAGAAAGAAAGTTTTTTATTAGACATAATAAAAAAAGGATGTTTAGTTAAAATAGAAAGTGCCTGTGCCGTGGGAAGCTAGTCTTCTCCATTTGATATATCAAAGATTGAGTTGGGTTAGATAGATAGATAACTATAGCATTAACAATTTATGAAAAAGGGTAAATAATATTAAAAGAATATTATTTTGTCTGTAAATTCGGTTTACGGACGACAGTTTAACGTTATGACGTCATAACAAAACGTTGAAGAAATGATTGCATACTTTTAAGAATAAAATTAAATAGTTTTTATGGATTAATCTCTATTTTGTATGGACACAAAGAAGGAGTGAATCCTCAGACGCATAGGCCAATCGAATGGAAAAGAGATAGATGAGGCGCAAGCGTACAATGAGCGTAACGGGACAATGAATCATGCTTTTTCGTGCATGCAGTCGGCATTCTTATTAGACGTTGTTACGTCAAAACAAATGAATTAAACTGTTTGAGCATAGATAACTTAACAATCATAAGTATCCTATACCAAGTTCAATAGTGTAGCAAATCGTAGCCTCTTATAACTTGTACCCGTATCGCGTCGGAACATCAAGTATGCACTAAGGGAATGTCGTAGCAGCGCGACACCTCGGCCGCCGTTCATTTCATTGTCTCCAATCTCTGACGCGATGTAGTGTTTTGAATTTTGCAACACGAGACACTCTTGACACTTTCTTTGTGCTTGAAGTCATTTTGAGCAATTCATTTGTGTTACAAACGTTTGTCTTTTACAAAACAGATTAGGAAATGGTTTTTTTTGTTATTGCCTTAGTTTTGTTTTATATTATTCGTAATTTAAATAAAATAAATCAATAGAATTGTAGTTTCAAGTAAGCAAATATGAACTGGGTAATTGTTGTTTTTTTTGTAAAGCTATAGTTTTTCAACGCATTATACATTGTATATAACTCGTACGAATTTTTTCGTACAAAACTACATATTTGTCAAGCAATTTTAGACGCTCTCATAGTCAAAAGGTGATCCATGAAATTTTTATGATAAAAGCATCAATATTTACATATCTTTTACGCTACGGGTTTAAATAAGGTTTTAATAAATAGACAAAGACAGGCAGGCAGAAAGTCCTTATACATATATACAATCATCGTTGTACGCTGCGTTTCAATGTTAGGTTACAGGCTTATGTACTCAAATATAACAAATGTAATTTAATGACATGATTTATTGTTTCAGTACCGGGGCCTACCGCTCGTCGACGGCGGGTTCGGACGCGCCCCCCGCACCTCCGCTCTTCCTACCCCCGCACCTCTCGCATCTATCGCAGCATCTCAACCATTTGTCGCAACCCTTCTTCCCCTTGAAAGGTATGTGTAGGTATATTTAAGCATGTTTTATGACCTCTCAAATTCGGAAAAGGGCAGCGCCGCATCGTTATACAATGTATTATTTTAAATAGTGTTTATTTGTAATCATAACAAAATATACATGATTTGTAAAATAACAATCAATTACAATTTTATTATCCTACATAATAAAATAAACAGTATTTAAAGCTAATTATTACAAATAATTACTAAGTGTAAAGTATGCTATATGTAGCCCTAGTAAGTACCCGTGGTGCCACGGTGTCAAAATATGTATAATCTGCGTAATGAAGACATATAGTTACATAAATTTTTGAAATAATCTGGACTTGTAAGAAAGCAAACAGCAGCATCGAGCTGCGACACTTTGTAAATAATATTTATTGTAATTAAATATTAATTGAACTTGGTCTTTTGAGACGTCCAGCGGCAACCAGCATAATTCGTATATAACTAAGTTCTAAATCGAAGCCAAATATACTCTTCACAAAGAAAACCTTTATCCGTTTACAAAAACAATTCCCGTAGCGTCTCGTAGAGGCTCTACGCAGCGAGACAGGTGGACATTTTAGTAAGGAAGTCTGTCTAGACTTGGTTCGTTCAAATCGATTAAAACAGTTTTGTAGGCGATTAGTTTTAGCTTTGCTACTAAATAGCTTTTGAGTTATATACAAAATATTTGTTACTGGTATTCTACATATCTATGATGTACACAATAATTCGTGTTATCTGCTCATACCAGAAAATAATTCGTCATTTGTTTCATCAAGAGAGCTGTCAAACTTTTTTTTATGAAGTTTGATAGAAGATGAGATTGTGACTTGAGATACGGATTAGAATATAGGTTCCCAAGCTTAGCTTAGGTTTCCAAGCTGTAACAAACCTATACGTATAAAAATATGTAAGCTAAAGCTAAGCCAATTATGATAAACGTTTTTGTGACCATAGACTATCATATCGAGTATGTTCGTTTTAATTTGGTAGCATTATATATGTTCGGTTTATGCGATACAGTTTAATAAATATATACAGATATAAACGCGAATTTCTTTTATTTACATTACTCAACGTGAAATGTTTTTCAACAATCATCTGAACCATGCGTTTAGGTAACGCTTACAACCTCATTGTGTAAATGCACAATCTACCATTTTTTTTATTTACAGGTTGGGGTGCCCCCTGTCCCTGCTGCCCCAAAGAAGAGGCGCGTTCAACGAGCGTAGCCGAACTCAGACGCAAAGCACACGAGCACTCAGCAGCCTTATTGCAATCTCTCGCCAACTTCCAATCAAGAGCTCTTCTGCCGTTACCACTACATCTTCCACCCCTATCGCTATCTCTCTTACCACATGATGCACAGCCATCAACCACGCAGGCGGAGCCACAGAAACATATAGAATAATAATCCTTGTATCTCATTGATTCCAAAATGTACGGATCTGCTTCAATGGGTCAACTATTCCAGACCATAATTCTAATAAATAAAAAATTTCATATTTGGTAGTTGGTTAATTATATTTGCGCTTTATTGCAATCTAATAGTGAATACATTATCAAATATTTTTTTCATCCAATACATATCTAGTTCATTGCGATATATTCATTGTTTTTTAAGGGAATCTACTATTTCTTTATCCAAAATAGTATGTTTTAAAATATTAGTTATTCAAATTACTTCCTTCGCTGACTTGAAATTTGAGTTGGTCGTCACAAATACTCCTAGACAGAGACAACAAAGAAAGATACAGTAATAATATCAGAAATAACTATAATAGTTCATCAACTATTATGAACAGTTGTGAACAGTATATTGCATGTTATCTTTGTATTTAAATAATCAAAATACCACGTCGTGAATTTTGTGCCAAATATATGCCTGTGCCATGGTATCATAATGTTAGCCAATTGCAATATCAATATTTTATTACCAGTCGTTTCCTTTTTATATCAAAACTTTGTCGTAAATTTAAAATTCCTAAATAAATAGTAATGAGGCTATACGATTTGCAATATTATCCAACAAAATTTAGTTTTGATTGAAGAAACAATTTTTTTCTATTAAACTGTATATTTACGTAACTAGATTTAGCATTTTTGAAAGTAGAACCTAGTTGAATATATCTATGTACATAATGAGTTATTGTAACTACTTAATCTACTATGACTTTGCCAGTGTATTAAAAGATTACGTCGGGTATCCCTCCGCTGCTTTTATATAAAAATATTAAACGCAGAACTATTTTATATTCATTTAATCTAAAGTAAAAGAAGTTCGGCGTGAGCGTGCGTCTCTCATTCCTGAGGTCGTAGGTTCGATCTCTGGCTTAGCACCAATGGACTTTCTGTCCAGTCTGCGCATTTAACATTCGCTCGAACGGTGAAGGAAAACATCGTGAGTAAACCGGCTTGCCTTAGACCCAAAAAGTAGACGGCTTGTGTCAGGCACAGGAAGCTGATCACCTACTCGCCTATTAGATTGTCAAATGACCATGAAACAGATACATACATTTGTGGCCCAGACCTAAAAAGGTTGTAGCGCCACTGGTTAAAAGTCCTAACTCCAAGCCACTAATACTTAAGATTTGTGACAAAATTAACATTAGCATTCTTACAAACCTTACACTAAAGCTGTCATTAACAAATGTCAATTGTTAAATGTAACGTTTTATACCCTGTCAATGTCATGGTAGAGTACCATAGCTAATATTAATGTTACCGTCAGTATTTTCGACCAAAAACTGTATGGAATTTTGTTTTTGGAATGTAAATAAAAATACTCAATTTTGTTTAAAATTGTAGGCTAATTCTGGTTATAAATAAATATAGATTAAGTCTGATGATGTCATTACTACCTTTTTATTTTATAAAGCAATAATTTTCGTAATTTCTTCTCGAGTAAACAAAGCATTATTTAATGCGTAAGATTTACAGCTAAATATATTATTGTAATAACTCCAAATTTTTATTATATCATTTGATATTTATGTATAAAATTGTTTCATGTGCCAAAACATAAATCGATTTATATTGAGTGATAAACGAAATAATTTAAGGTAATATAATCAAACACATTAATGCTTGTATAATTAAGTAAATCTATTTCCGGTGTGTCTGTAAATATTTACGAATGTCTGAACTACTGCACCATGCACGAGTTAGGGAATTGTTGTCGCCGGTTGTATATATTTAATTTTATATTAATATTTAAGCACAATGTATTATAATACACGTAGACTATTAGATACACATGGCTAGTTGTTTTAATTATTATCAAATAAAACATTTATCAAAATTTCAGTGTTTCATTCCAATTATCTCCGTAAAAGTTTAAGTTTTTAGAGACGGTTTAGAAATTTGAAATACAAAAAGTAAAAAGCTCTTTGGATTCATGTGGTGTTAGGATCTCTCTATACTGGTACTCCGTAACTCACAAGTGAGAGCTTTCTTGATTACAACTTAAATTTTTAATTCTTGTACCGAACAATCCCAAGGATGCGACCTCGTCGATATTGAAAGATTTTATCGAAATTGCATACAGGAACATCGGATGGGAATCGCTATTGGAGTATCGAAGTTGTTTACTGTATCACGCATAATGGACTCCGAATACCATTAGGAAGAAAACAATTTAATTACGCCTTTCTGTTATGCCGGTGTTGTTGCAATTTACTCAATTTTACTCTGTGAAAGAGTTGTTAATGTATTTGGTACATAACTTCAGTGATTTTCCGCGATTGTACCGTCTCATATGAGACGGTACAATCGCGCCCCAAAAATTTAATGCAATTTGGTTACGGTTACCCAATAAAATAATCCGCAAACAGCACTGATATTAAGTAATAATGCTAAGTCACGCATCTAACTAGTAGTCACATATTGTATTAGTAAAATGAAACCACACTGGTGGAATTCAAAAAGTAGTAGCGTCAGTTTTTCCTGTAAGTAATATATTTTTATAATCGTTTCACTGTCCAAATACATTGACCATTAAAACACGGAATATATAATCAAGGAAATATAAAGCGCAAGTAAAGAGTACCCTAATTAATTATTAAAAAAATAATATTTTATTAATTTGTGAAATTAAACAGTAGATGTCAAAGTGGTGATACCGGCACTAGGTTAAGATTTGATGTAAGTTAATGTATTACTTCGATACGGATAGACATCTGAACTATGCAACTACAACTTCTGAGTATACCGATTGGAGTAATAATAATAAAAAGGATTATAGGAATGGAAGAAATTAACAATTAAATAGCGGGCCATAACACTCATACGGGGTTTTTTAATAAACAGTTTTAATGAGGACTGTATAGTATATACAAAGTGTATAAATTTGGACGTTTTAAGTTTATACACTTTGTATATCTTTTTTGAAAAGCCAAAATTTCCTTTAAAAAATAATTTTCTTACTTAATTTTAATTGGTACACGATTTTTTAAGGTTTGATACCGCGATAACTACTGCGTCATCGTCAATTATATGGCTCCTGTAAGCGCGGATATATGTAGAAATAACCGTGAACTAGGTCCAGTGATTATGGAGGATGTTTCATCAAATCGAAGCCCCCATTTTTTAATTATCACCAAATGCTATTATGGAATTGTGCGCGGGGGCATTCATTATCTTGGTGAAAGAAAATAACACACATTAATAACATTGTGTCTTTTATAACAGTGGTATACAAAGTATACAAACCAACGTAATGAGACAGTAGCCAAGTTACTACTTCTACCTATTTTTTGAAATTGATTTCGTAAGAATAACGTCGAGATCTAATGGTAAAGGACTTTTTCGAATCAGTGCAGTAGGTTCGGAGCCTGTTAATGCAAACAAAGAATCAAATATTTCTGCTGCATGAATTTCTTGCATACTAAGAAAAAGCTAAAATTAATTGTTGAGACCAGAGTAGCTTTCGACAGGTTGAAGTTATTTTAAAATCGGTTCAGAGGATTATTATTTATTTTGTACAAACAAAATACAAACCTTAATAAAAAATACTTTATATACAAGTGTTTCACAGTAAAAGCAAGTGAATTGAAAAACTTCTGGTTCATAAATTATAACTTATGCATTTTAGTGACAGCCGTTATTCTCGGATTATTGTTGAGAGGTTCATAAAATATTTAACAACTTTTAGCAATCCTTTACGAAGAACAAACGTATATCAGAAGAACAATTAATCATTGAAGTTAGGCTAAGATGTATTTATGAAGAAACTTTTAATTGTAAGTGGGTATGCGGTGATTAAAATTTCATCCTTGTGCAGACAGTAGAAATAAATTGCTCATCTTTATGGCTTTAAAATACAAGATATAAAATTTGCTTTAATCCAACGATGCTCGCTCCTGATTGTTATTAACCGTACTCAGAGTCGGATTAAATTATTTTTAGTTGTAGATTATTATCTAGAGAGCTGTGCTATTTAATGCGAGATCTTGTAATTTTTCGTTGGATCTACATCTAAGAGTCAAAGGAGACTTGAAGCGAACTAACCCGTTTGTCAAAATGTATAGATTTCACAATTCATCACGTCTCTTATCTTATCCTTGCCGATTTTAATTTAATGAAGGGCTTATCAACTGTGCCAGATGGGAAGTCTTTTACCATAGATGCAAAAGTTCATTTTCAATGGTAATTTGACTGATACATATATATAGATAGCCAAAAGGCGTTTAAGTTGTCAATATTTCTGTACTGAATTTGAACTATTCGTAATATTTTTGGTTTATTATTCTTATATATTTAATAATCATCTCATAGAACAAGAAACATTGATATAAAAAAAACGACGATTCATTCTCTTAATTAAGCTAAATTCATGAAATAAAAATACAAAAAATGAAACATAATTTTATTTTACATATGGTTTTAAACCTTAAATAATAAATTATAATAAATCTCGCATCCGTACATTTCTTCGTACGGCGTTATTATAACCTTCTCTGTACTGGTAGAACACGTTGCTCGAAGATATAACATCTGACACGGCATCTGTGGACAAAAACAAATATTAAAAACTGCTTCAAACGTACCAATTACGTACGTATTACGTAATTGGTACGTACGTATACGTATGCAATTTAGTAGTTTGCGCAGAGGGTCGGAGGTCCGGTTCGATTTCCAGCGACCGGTTTAACGTAAAGTTTGTCAATAAAGCTATTAAAGAACAACAAATTATAATAAATATTTAGTAATATTTCTATTTCTTTAGTAAGTAGTAGTATTCTAATATTTCTTTAGTAAAAAAATATGTAAATTTTTAAGTTTTGTAATATTTTAGCAATAAATCAACTTTTGTTATGTAATTCTGAGGAGTTTGGAAGCTGATTTATAATGAAGAACAAACCAAATCGGGCCGTATTATCCGAGCCCGGAATTAATAGCATTTAACTAAAA